AGACATAATGACTGTAAGAGGGGAAGCGTGTTGTCCGCAGCTCCACGTTGCTGTCTTCCGCAGTTTGTCCCCAGCCCACGTATTGGTGGGTCTTATACGGTAGGGTTCGCTCAGGATGGCAACGTCGGCCCTATTTTCTCGGAGACTCTGTGATAGCAGGTCTTGCGCTGCTTCGCAGTGGTTCAAGTTGAGTTGGTAGATACAGATCATCTATTATGTGTTCTAGCCAGCGCCTTTTTAAGATATTGGCACCTACTACGGTTAGCCTTGTGGTCCGTTGCCTTTTCACCTTTCCTGGTGCAAATTATGCATTTCGGACCCTTCTTGCAGTCCTTAGCTTTGTGACCAGGTTCGCCACAGTTGAAGCAGGTGTCCCTGCAGTTGGTTCTTCAGCCGGGAGTGGCTTCGACGGCAAATTCTGGGAGGTTGCCTTGGTCTCCGGTTTAGTCTTGGGCTCTATGTGGCCCCTGTGCCTCTTGGGACCCGGTGGCGGTGACGTTGCTTCACCCCTGTCGCTTCTTGGTCTATGGCCCTCGGATGGCTTGGGTCTCGCAGGCGACTCTCTATCTGCCCTTTCTTCATCTGCCGCCGTGTAGAGGGCCATGATGCTATCGATCAGGTCCCTCATTGGCTGGTGGATCGAGCGCCGTTTTTCCAGCATTTTGCTGAGGGCCCTGATCTTATCGCCCAGAACCTCGAAGCTCTTGGTCGATGTTTGGGCGTTCTTGCTTGGAGGAGTCCTCTGACGGTGTGCGTTCAGATTGGCTTTCACCAATGCTCGTCTCGGAGACCTGTGCACCTCCCTGCTCGCTTGCAGGGAGTTAGTGGTAGGCTCGGAGCTATACCCGCCCTCGGTAAGCCTCTCTCTTTGCTTATTAGCATCTTCAGGCATCTTTGCCACGGCGGCCCCCTTTCACCGGTGCCGGGCACGTGGTCTGGTAGGCTTAGTACCCGGCGCGCGAGTTATGATAGGTTCGAAATGGAATGTTGTACTTGATTGGGAATCACTTTTGACTTCACAAGATTTTGAATAAAACGCCCGGATGGTTTGAGTTCAACTTTAAGACTGATTCTGTATTTCTCTTTTGGTCAGCTTGTTGATTCTTATTCTAACATAAAATGCTGATCTAACGGAAAGTGCTTACTCTATGGATATGAAGTGGGTCGTATAATTGGAGTAGTTTAGTAGAGTGGCTAAGCGGAGCGGATGCTATTGTTTTGATTCGTCTGCGATTCGATGCATTGGTTATTAGTAGGGCGATCGGATGGCCGCTGAAGTGTTTGCTGAGGCGGCGTGACGATCGGGTGGCCACTTAAGTGTTTGCTGAGGCTGCGATCTGGTGGCCGCTTAAGTGGTTGCTGAGGGTGCGATCGGGTGGCCGCTTAAGTGTTTGCTGTAGCGGCGGTTACAATAGTCGCGGCGGTTTTGGTGGGGGACCGCCGAGGCTAATTGTTGAGGTGGTAACTCCTCCCTCCTCAGATTGAACTACCGACCATAGCGGAGCGATGGTTGGTGTGAAAGTGGCAGGTGCAGTAATAGTTGATGTGAAGGTGGCAGGCGGACTAATGGTTGGTGTCAACGTCGCAATTGGTGAAGTTGGTGTGAAGGTGGTCGTTCTTTTTGAGAAAACGGCCACGGCCAACAACACTATCAACATTATGATTAACATCGAGTATGTCGCTGTCGTATGTATAGTGGTTCCCATTTGTAGTCTGTTGATTTGTAGTTTCGTTTCTATATCTTCCATCTTTAGCTCGTGAATTCCCAGTTCCTGTGTTGTTCTATTTGTGTTGATAGTTCCGATGTGTGGTATGTCCAAGTTCAGTTTGGCTGTGCCAAGCCTCTCCGTTGCTTCGTACTGGACGTTGTTAACCATAGTTCTGCATTCGTTGAACGTGATTAGTGCTGATCCATTTATTGTTCTTTCTTGACCACAGTCCGTACCCAGTTTCACATTTTCTCCATTAAAAACGGCGATATACCCCTCTTCCGGTTCAAAAATCCTTGTTTTGAGCCCAGCATCTCTCGTCTCACAATTCGCTTCCTTTCCGCTGATCAGTTTTCTTAAACAATTTTCATTAACTTGGTTTACAATTTTATCATTCTTACATATATATAAGTTCCTTACTTGCTGACATTTATTCTTATAATAGTACATTTCTTCATTATTCATTGCCACATATTCTGGCGTTATTACAAATTCCGTCTTATTCATAGGTAGTGCTATTATTCTATGTAGTGAATATGTTTCATTTTTAAAAATTGGTAATTTTATTGCAAATATTGGGTCAGTTTCATTCATTATAGCTTTAAATTCTAGAAATTCATACATGTTTTCCTCTGATGTTATCTGAACGCCCTGTTCCTCTAACTCCTGTATGCATTTAGTTGCTTCTTGTTTTTCGAATATGAAGTGCTGGGGCGTCCTTCTTGAAGGCAGCAAAACTCCGGTGGTCAGCGACGGCTGGCGGGGTTAAGCTGTGGGGGTGAGAAAAACACTCGACGATCGCGGCAAAGAAAAAAAGACTTGGAATTCGGTAATTGCGCGGACCGGCCGGGCGTTTATTCAAACGGTGACGATTTTGGAACTAATTTAAGCTAAGCTAAGCTAGGCGCTTGGAGGCGCAGCGGAGACTTCTCTCGCTCGGGGAGTGGAGAGCCTTGACGGCCGAGCGCGACATGCTCCAAGCTTCGGGAGAGGGAGAGTGCGGTGTGGGGAGAAGCTCCGGGAGAGCGAGAGGCCTAAACATTCCGCCCCCCTTGCAACCGCTGGCGTTGCAACATAATTAGCCCTGGTTGCAGGCGCCGGACAGGATCCAGCCGAAGATGGTCTTCTGGGCCACCGGCAATCCCTCGGCGACCAGGTGGAATCCTGGTTGGATGACCTTGGCGTAGACATCCGCACCCAGGACCATGGAAATCGACGCCGGCAGATAGAACCGCTTGTCGGCCAGCGGAAGGTCCTTGTAGCGGCCGACGACAGACTCGTCGATCGCTCGGATGGGGGTGCGGACGCCGACGCCGGGTTCGATCTTTAGGACGACATCCAACGCAGCTCCCTCGACGACCTTCGATCGGAGGATCGCCGTGCACACCCTCTCTTTTCCGACATTGGTGGTCGGCAGACGAAGGCTGGACGCCAGGGTGGCGTCGATGCAGCTTTGAGGCGAGCAGGGGTCTATGAGAGCCACGGTGTCCACGATCTTCGGACCCGCCTCCAGGGTGACCAAAGCCGTTGGAAGGACGTTGACGACGTGGTGTTGAAGGAGGGTTGCCAACGTCGGAGCAGCGCGCGCTGCGCGAGTCGAGGGCTCTGGTGTCGAGGAGGCTGAGCGCGGTGGAGAAGCAAGCGCTCTGCGAGTTGGCGGATCTTGCCGGCGCGAACGCTGCTGAGAAGCGGAGCCCCTTTTGGAAGGCTTGGAAGGCTCGGTGATGTGGAGCAGCGTGTGATGCTCCTCATCGCACGTTCTGCACTGGTCACCGCTACGGCAGTCCCCTTGCGAATGCTCGTGGGCAAGGCAATTTGCGCAGTACTTATTAACCAGAACTGCCCGTAGCCGCTTCTCCGCGCTCAGCTTGAGGAACCTCTGGCACCTCTTTAGAGGGTGGATCCCCCGGCAGACTCGGCACCGATAGGACTGCGTGCCTCGAGTCCGCCTGCTCTCCAACACTTGAGCGTTCTGCTTACGCGGAGCCATTGTCTACGGATGTCGGCGTTGGATCATGAAAAAGAAAAAAAACACAGGAAGATGTTTTATAATGGAAAGATTCGGGCCTTACGGACTACGGACAACGAAGTATGGATTACTGGGTAGAAGTTTGGGGAGCCTCTCCGGGAAGGAGAACAATTTTGGCTACTGGACGCCGGACAATGCCGCGCGCCGTCCGGATGTCGACTACGCGGACATTGCCATCGGCTCCAGGAAAGACGGAGTCGATTCTACCGAGTCGCCACTCATTTGAGGGCAGATTGTCGTCTTTGATGACGACCATGTCCCCGACACGCATATTCTCGGTGGGACACTTCCACTTGTTGCGCTTGTGGAGCTCTTTCAGGTATTCATCCTTCCATCGAGCGCGGAATTGCTGATGGAGCGCTTTCAAGTGTTGCCACCTGTTTAATATTGTCTTAGATTCTCCCTTTACTTCGGGCTCCACTATGGATAGAAGAGGGCCGCCGACAAGAAAGTGCCCTGGTGTCAACGCTAGAAGATCAGTGGGATCCTCTGACATGGGAGATAGCGGTCTGGAATTTAGACACGCTTCAATCTTCGCTAGCAGAGTGGCAAGTTCTTCAAAGGTGTATTTCCGCGTAGCTGTGCATTTATAAAACAATGCCTTGAAGCTCTTGACACCAGCTTCCCATAGGCCTCCCATATGGGGTGCTCCTGGCGGAATGAAATGCCAGTCGAGCTGCTGATGACTATACGCATCAGTCACAGACTCTTTAACGGCCTGGAGAAAATCTCGGGACAGTAATGTGGCAGCGCCAACAAAGGTCTTCCCATTGTCCGACTGCACTTGGCGAGGACACCCTCTTCTGGATACGAACCGAGCGAATGCCGCAAGAAATTTCTCGGTCGTCAGATCTGAAGTAGGCTCCAAATGGATAGCCTTGGTGGAGAAGCAAACGAAAACCAACACATACCCTTTAGTAATAAGGCAGGCTCTGCCAGTGTAATTCTTTATGTCGAAGGGCCCTGCGTAGTCCATCCCCGTGTACGTGAATGGACGGGAGAATGACACTCGTTCTCTTGGCAAATTTCCCATCATCTGACTTTGCAATCGCTTTTTGTAGATCACGCAGACCTTGCAGGCATTGATAACTGCCTTCACCAAGTTTTTAACTCTCGGAACCCAATATCTGGAACGGTTGAGACGTACCACCAACTGATTACCCCCGTGTAGCGTAATGAGATGGGTGAACTTTACCAGAAGCCGAGAGAGTGAACATTCGTACGGGAGGATTATCGGGTGTCGTTCATCGTAACGCAAACTTTCAGAGGCTGTGACACGGCCACATGCCCTTATCAGCCCCTCCTGATCTAGGAAAGGGTTCAAGGAGAGGATCGAACTGGAAGGGGGCACCGGAAGCTTCTGACTCAAGCAGCGATACTCGTTCGTTAAATACCTGCGCTGAGTGCAGAGAATCATGAGCCGTTCGGCGGCGACAAGTTCCTTGGCCTCCAGACGGATCTCTGAAAGCGGCGATTGATTCTTGCACCGATTGATAAAACGCTGGACATACGCGAGGACCCGCAACGCTCTATCCAATTTGGAAAAACGATCAAGGAAGTCTTCGTTCGGAATATATGCTACGTGGGCTTTGACTGCTCGCTTTTCGATCTCGGTCACGGGAAGGTCGGTCCCCTGGCTAGGCCATTGGCTGCGTGGCTTTTGCAACCAAATGGGTCCATGCCACCACAGAGAACTACCGACAAGCTCTGGAAGGGCTACCCCTCGACTAGCCAAGTCAGCGGGATTATGTTCGGATTGAACGTGTGACCAGTTGGCTGCCTCTGTGGACTGAGTGATCTTCGTCACTCTGTTGGCAACGAAAGTAGTCCAATGGCAAGCTGGTTTTGCTAACCATGCCAACACAATAGTGGAATCGGTCCAGCAGTGGAGACTCGAATTCAGCATCGGCATGCTGGGAAGGATCGCTTCAGCCATTTCGGCTAGCAGTAAAGCTCCGCACAGCTCTAGGCGAGGAAGCGACACAGTTTTGACTGGCGCAACACGCGTCTTGGCGGTGAGCAGGTGTACCATCGTGGTATGTCCCATCTCTACGCGCACGTAGATCGCAGCGCCGTAGGCTTTCTGCGAGGCATCACAAAATCCATGATGCTCTAAGCGGAATTCTGGGCGAAAGGAAACCCATCTTGGAATCCGAACCTGATCAAGGACCGAATAGCTCTGAAGAAAACTGTGCCACCTTTGGCACAACTCAGATGGCAGCTTATCGTCCCACCCCAGCTCCTGAAGCCAAATCTCTTGCATAAAGATCTTGGCACACACAACAAATGGAGCGAGCCAGCCTGCTGGATCAAACAGTTTGGCAATTTGGGAAAGCACCTGGCGTTTTGTGGGGGAGATTTCTGTGGGTAGATCTGGGGGAACGAAGAAAAACTCATCGGACGTCGCTCTCCATCGTACACCGAGAGTCTTGGCTGTACTTTCAGTGTCGAGATCAAGGAAATCGCTGTTCAGAAGATGACCGGCTTGGATATGAGCTAACACCTCTTTGTTGTTGGACGTCCATTTTCTTAACGGAAAGCCCGCGGAGTCTAGGGCACTCTGTAACTCCTTTATTGTGAGCTGAGCATCTTCAGCAGAGTCAGCTCCCGAAAGGACATCGTCTACATACATTGCATTACGAATGACTTTGCTCGCTCTTGGATGGCTGAGCTGCACGTCAGTCGCCAGCTGTTGTAGGACTCGTATCGCCAGGAAGGGCGCACAATTAATCCCGAAAGTTACCGTCTTTAACTCAAAATCTCGAATGTACCCCTCGCTGTTTCGGAATAAAATGCGTTGGAACGGGGTATGCTTCGGGTCTACCCAGATCTGTCGATACATTTTCTCGATATCGGCACTGTAAACGTATCGGAAATATCGCCACTTCAGAATTTGAATGGTCAGATCGGACTGTAAGACCGGGCCAGCATGAAGGATATCATTTAGACTGACCCCATTGTCTGAAGGGCTGGAGGCATTGAACACCACACGAAGCTTGGTGGTCGTACTTTCCGGCTTGAGCACGGCATGATGCGGAAGATAATAACTCGCAGAATCATGGGTAGGAAAGACCTCTTTCTAGTGGTTGAGATCGAGATATTCTTGAATGACGGTATCGTACTTAATTTTCTGTTGGCTGTCCCTTTTTAAACGCTGCTCGTTTCTTAAGAATTGAGCCAACGCGAAGGATCTGGAGTGTCCCAGGGCGGACTTTACGTTCTCTGGATCACGGAATGGAAGGTGTACGATATATTTTCCACTAAAGTCTCTCGTGGTTGTCCGGAGGAAATTTTCCTCACAAGCCAAATCGGAATCTTTTGCCATTTTTATTGGCAGATCCTCCACCTCCCAAAACTTGGTGAGAAGTTGATCCAGGTTTGAATCAAATATATGGGAGATTCGAGTGGAGAAAGCGGAAATTTGCTCTTGCCTAGCAGCTGGTATTGGTCCGGTAAGGATCCAACCGAATATAGTCTCTTGACCAAGAAGAGAGCCACAGACGTTTGCTCGGGTGCCGCTTAGGAGTATGGAAGGCAGCAGATCAGCCCCGATTAACACGTCTATTTGTGCACTCTCATAGAATTTCGGGTCTGCCAAAGAAAATTCGGGAAGTTCCCGTAGGAAATGCTGCGGAATTGAGCAGGACGGAAGTTGACCAGCTAATTGCGGAAGGACATACGCCGTCGCGTCTAGTTGCAGGCCAGGCCTGGTCGGAGATCGAATTGAAAATTGGCAAAGCTTTTTGGACTCTGCTGCCAGTGTTTGGCTTAAGCCGGAGACTTGGGCTCGAATGATCTGATGAGGCAACTTAATCAAGTTGAACAGCCGCTCGGTCATGAATGTTGCCTCCGATCCAGAGTCGATCAAGGCACGAGCCTTGAAGGTTGATCCCAAATGGCAAACGTCAATAATGGCGGTGCCCAGCAAGACGGATCTATGACCCGTGGCAAGATAATTTTGCACCGTGGAGGTTGCGGCAGTGGTTGTCGCTGGAGCGGTCGTAGTTGGTCTTGACCTGGGCGCAGAAGTTGGAGTTGGAGTCGAGAGCGTTGGAGACGCGTTACCTCGATGGAGAAGCGTGTGATGGCGGCCGCGGCACGTGAAGCAACTATGAGTACTGTCACAGTCCCGTAGCTGATGTCCTCGTGCAAAGCAGTTCAGACACAGCTTTTTGCCTTTGATATACGCGGACCGCTCATCGACAGACATCCGGAGAAACCGTGCGCATGTCCGCACTGGATGGTTTTCTCTATTGCACAAGTCGCACCCTTTACCTCTGGGTACTACTCTAGCTTCATAGGAATGGATCCTACGTGCCGTGGAATTCGAACCTGCTGCTCTGGGCTGAGGCTGACTAGAGCCTGACGGACGGACGTCATCTATGGCCTCTAATGTCCTGTGACGCTCAGTGAGGAAGTTATTTAACTCCTGCCACGTGGGAACATCGACCTTGTTGTGGAGCGACTGCTCCCAGAGGGAAAGTGTCAACTTTGGAAGTTTGGCGGAGACCATATAAACTAATAGGCAATCCCAATTGTCGGTGCTAATATCGCTCGTTTCTAAAGCGGTAAGGCAACTCTGGATGGTGTCTTGAAGCTCTCGCAAAGCTGGCCCAGATTCCTGAGTGATGGACTGCACATTGAACAGTATTTGAACAGTTTACTAACAACCGTTTGTTTTCGAAACGCTTAGTTAGGTTATCCCAGGCTGAGCGAAAACCATCGCTAGTTAAAGGCGACTTTGCCACAATTGTGTGTGCTTCGCCACTCGTTTTGGAATTCAGGTGGAACAATTTCTCGACCGGCGTCAATCTTGGATTGTTAATATAGATCGCCGTGAAAAGGTCCCTAAACGTCGGCCAGCGAAGATAATCGCCGGTGAAGACCTCGGTATCACACGGAGGTAGCCGACAACCTGAAGGAACGTAGGTCTGGGACGGATCAGCTTGTGTCTGGGGGGTTCGTGGAGCTTTCGCAATAAGATCCTCTATATTCGCACCACACCTTTCGTAGACGCCGTAGCAATAATTATATTTCGCTCGGAGAATTGGCAAGCTGTCAGCTGCACTGTCTCCGGCTGAAATCAGGCGTACATTGCACTCATCATACTCTTTTTTGATGCGCTCCCACAATGCTCGGACCTCTTCGCGTCGGATATTTAGCATGGACATGCTCGGGGGAGTCGGCGACGGAGTGTTGCATCTCGCTTCGAATTCACTGAGTCGATCTGAAACCTCAATGAATTGATTCAGCGCAAGATCGGACGCAGCTAGAGCCATTTTTGTCTCGGAACGAGTGAGCCTTGCTTGGGGAGAGGGAGTCTTACTGGAAGGTTTAGGTGTGTGCGGCTTGACAACAATTTTCGGAGTTTTTGTTGGTGGAATGGGAGATTTTTTATTCCCACCTTCACTGGACATGCCAAAAAACGAACCCTCGGTTGGAAAACGAGTGTGCTGGTCGTGAGAAACAAATTTTAGACCTTTGTTGCTGGAATTGCACTCTTGAAAAAATTTGTATTTAGCTGACTTGTGGAATTTGTCTCGCTAAAGGGAGACGGTCTATGGAAGCGACGATAAATTAAAAAGGAATATATGCCCAGTGGAAACGGGGTATATTTAATATGCACAGGAGTGAAAAAAAAACCCAGAATGATTAAATAATATTTATTCTTAATGTTATTAAGAATATTATAATTAGTATATTTATAATTCGGATATGTGATTATTATTTTGTGTGGTATTTATTTACTTTATTTTAGAAAATAATACCAACTGTGGTAAAGACAAAAAAAAAACCAAAACGGGTAGTTTATTCGAAGAATGGAAGTTAATTATTTATCCAAAATAATTTATTTGCAAATATTTAATTTCTGAGCTATCAACAAACGGTGTGCCGTACGGAGTGACGTTCACACTTAAATTTTTTTGGAACCAGACAAAGAAATAAATTTTTTTTTTTTAAATTATTGTATGTTGCTGGACAAAAAAACAAATCAAATAATAAAAAAAATAATTTCCAATTATTTTGGTATTTTTAATTTTAATTTGACTGGAATATTAATTATGTGTTGTTATTGGAGTTGGAATTTATTTATTGCAGCTCAGAAATAATTTATTTTGTCTTTGGAAAAATTTTATATGTTTAAGACCTTGCACTGGATGTCGTGCAACGGCTCCCTAATGGGTATGGGTGTATATGTGTATATTGGTATGCTGGATTTGGATATAAGTGTATATGTATATATGTGCGTTTGTGCAGTTCGCGCTCACGCCAAAAAAATGTTAGAAATAAGACACACTGCAACCAACAAAGTTTTCCGAGTCGGTGGTGGATTTTAATTATTTATTTTATTCTACACGGAGGCCGACGGAAAACTTTTAATGTTGGTATATTTTCGCTGTAGGAAGTAGAAAATATGTATGGAGTATATGGAATATATTTGGAGATATATTTATGTATGTGCGTTTGTGCAATTCGCGCTCACGCAAAAAAATGTTGGAGATAAAAAACACACTGAAACCAACAAAGTTTTCCTAGTCGGTGGTGGATTGTAATTATTTATTTTATGCTACACGGAGGCCGACGGAAAACTTTTAATGTTGGTATATTTTCGCTGTAGGAAGTAGAAAATATGTATGATGTATATGGAATATATTTGGATAATTATGTATGTATGTATTTTTATTTATGGCGGAAAATTTATTAAAAAATATTGCCGGCGGGTATGTGTTGAGCTTTCGATTTTAATTAAGTGGACTGTATTGCAAGAAAAGGTGTGCAAAATATTTAGCGTAGGACTGCAGTGAAAAAAAAACACTTTGAAAATGGGGGCCCTTTTTTGGCAGAACACTTGGAATTTTTTCACAGAAATTATTTCTTCACTGTTCACTTCGAATATTTTGCACACTTTACACTTGTCGTTAAATTTTGGATTTTTCACTTTTATTCAATTTCGGAATTTGCACTTTTTATTAAAGTTTGCAATTTTAGCTCTTTATTAAAGTTTTGGAATTTTGCTCATTTGATGTATGTATACTTGTATGTACATACATATGTGTACGGTTTCACTTTGATGTACGGGCCAAAGAGGAATTGGAGGAATATGGCGGCACGATCAAAGAAAAACGGAAAATGGAATAGATCTTAATAATTGCCGTTTTCGGATTAAATCGGACTTGGATTTTTAGAAAAAATCATGCAGAAAGTCAAACGAAACAGTGTTTTCGAGTGGCTGACTGCAGACCGGCAAATTAATATATGTAGATCTTCGTACTTATCTTGAGCAATTTCGGGCGCTGATCGAATCTGGCTCGATTGGATCAAAAAATGAAGTGCTGGGGCGTCCTTCTTGAAGGCAGCAAAACTCCGGTGGTCAGCGACGGCTGGCGGGGTTAAGCTGTGGGGGTGAGAAAAAACACTCGACGATCGCGGCAAAGAAAAAAAACTTGGAATTCGGTAATTGCGCGGACCGGCCGGGCGTTTATTCAAACGGTGACGATTTTGGAACTAATTTAAGCTAAGCTAAGCTAGGCGCTTGGAGGCGCAGCGGAGACTTCTCGCGCTCGGGGAGTGGAGAGCCTTGACGGCCGAGCGCGACATGCTCCAAGCTTCGGGAGAGGGAGAGTGCGGTGTGGGGAGAAGCTCCGGGAGAGGGAGAGGCCTAAACAGAATATAAATTTTGAAATTAACCCCATTTTTGCCAACAATAAACTTTCAGCAACGTCGTTTAAATTTAATCCAAGCATATCCCCCCTGGGGGGACGGTGGCCCAGCAGGTAGAGCGCTGGCCTCCGGTCCGGAAGGCCCGGGTTCAAGTCGAGCCCCAGGCTCCCCGAGAAAAAGAAACGGTCTCTTTTTCCAAATCTCCACCACTTCTATGCTCTATCGCTCACTTAACATTAGTAACAAATTTCGGCTCCCCGGACCCGCACACCCCCTCGTCCACGTTACTATGGACCCATCAATAGAATTTTCGTCACTCCTAGATGGCGCCAGGTGGCAACCCCACCGCTAGGATAAGTCGCTACTGGCTTATCACCGGTACGATCAAAAATCAATGATAATGAATCCTCTACAAGAAATTGTAGAGGCTCTAAGCTCCCGTGTGGAGTAACAGAATGTAAATATCTATTGTTACTGAATTTCTCTCTATGTATTCTAACCTATAAATCCTCTTATCTTCTTCTAAAAACGTCTTACTTATTCCATTCTTATAGTCTTCTTATATATAAAAATGAATCGCAAAATGTGTTGGTAAGCGCATCACATGAAAACGGCTTGACCGATTTGGCTGAAAATTGGTAGGGAGATAGCTTAGAACAAGAAGAAGGTTGTAGCATAAGAAAATTATGGGAAAACCTTCTGGAAAAGTCGCTAGCGGCTTAACAGATGTACACAATGTTGTATGTAATTACGCAATCGTTCTTATGGGGTAGGCAGTAGGCATTCGGTTTTAAGTAAAAAGGTTTGCTTTATCAAAGTTTTTATAAAAAAAAAGTGTTTTGTTTGTGAGTAGTGAAAAAATAATGCCTGCTATAAGACGAAGCAATTTAGGTAGAAGAACCAGAAATGCTACAAACCAGTCTAATTACCGATCTAATCGTACTGCACAAGAACGTGAATACGTAAATGAACGTGAAAGAATTCGGATATCACAAACGCGTGAAGCGCGAGCGCGACATTCAACTAATAATCGCGCAAGTTTGAATCGAGCTGCTTTCAGTTACGATGTGTCAATTGACTACAGTAACTACCAATGTGTTGTTATTGGTTCTATGAACTACGTTTGCTCAAACTGTAAGGCATTAAAATACAAAAACGAAGCCAAAGGATTGTGTTGCGCAAATGGTAAAGTGAAATTGATACCATTGGATCCACCACCAGAACCATTGTACTCATTGGTTTCAGGAATAGGAACAGAATCTATACACTTTTTGACACATATCCAACAATATAACAATTGTTTTCAAATGACTTCATTTGGGGCAACAAATGTAGTTCGGGAAAATTTTATGCCAACTTTCAAGGTATGTATACACCAAAGTTAAGATGCGTCACTAATCTTTTCAATTTCTTAATCATTACGAAATATATCACTTAGTCATCATATTTTACAGATACAAGGGCAAATATATCACAGAGCAGGTTCACTGTTACCAGTGTCAGATAGCGACAACAAATTCTTGCAAATTTATTTTATGGGCAACTCACCACAAGAAATTGATCTGCGTTGCGCACATAACAATTTAGTAAAGAGGTCTATTGTAGAACAATTACAAACTTTATTTCATCAACGAAATCAATTGATTATATTGTTTAAAACTGCCTTGGATCTGATGCCATCCGATAATCACAAAATTGTAATCAGAGCTGATAAAACACCTGCAGGTCAACATACAAGACGTTTTAATGCACCAACTATTGACGAAGTTGCTATCATTGTAGTTGGAGAAAACTTGGAATCCCGTGATATTGTTTTACATCGTCGGAATGATCAATTACAACGTATAAAGGAAACACACCGCTCATATGATGCACTGCAATATCCCATTATATTTTGGCAAGGTGAAGATGGCTACGATTTCTCAATAAAAATGATAAATCCCATTACAGGTTACTAAAATATTAGTTTAGCTTTGGCGATAATATCTCAGTCATTATATTGATGTTATTAAAACAAAATCTATTTACAGGCTCTGAAACCAACAAAAAAGTCAGTTCAATGAACTATTATTCATACCGCCTAATGATTCGGGAAAATGAAGATAATCACAAATTGAAATGTCGGCGATTATATCACAAATATGTTGTTGACATGTATGTTAAAATTGAAACGGAGAGATTAACATTCATCAGGTTGAATCAAACCAAACTTCGATCTGAAGAGTATATTCACCTTCGAGATGCGATTAATACTGATGGAAATGCACAGAATGTCGGTCGGATGACTATTCCAATGATGAAGTTACCCAATACCAAATGGGCCGCTATGTCAGTAGTAATGAAGCAGTTTGGCGAATATTTTCTTTCCCTATTCATGAGAGACACCCTTCTGTTGTTCACTTAAATTATTTTTTATTCACAACGCCCTATTACAGGGTGACGGTTCTGTTTAGGAGATTTTTTTTAAATACGTAGCCACAAAAACTGCCACATTACAAATCTTTTTGACAGGACGAAGTCTGTCGGGTCAACTAGTTATTAATAAACGTGGCTACCCTGCTTTGTTCTTCATTAATATATTTCGTCAAATTTTTAAACATTATGCCGAACTTGTTAC